CCACATCCACACCCACACCCACACCCACCCACACACCCACACCCACACCCTTCCGGTTCCCAAATCGAAAAAAAGCGGTTCCCATTTCGGTTCCCAAAATTTGTCTTAGGAACCGGGGTTTTTACATTGATATAGAAAATATTGAATATGATATTTTTTAATTTCTGTGTTCCTTTTTTGAGATTATTCATGTTTATTTTTTCATAAAAAAGTTTGAAAAAATACAATGAAAGAATGAGAAAACATATTATTATAAAATATGTTCACATGAAATGATTAATATTACAGTTTTAAAATAAATCTACTTCATCATTTTCTTCGGAATCATTAGGGCGTGAATGTGAGTGTGGGTATGAGTAGGTGTTGGTGTGGGTATCACTGGCTGCAAAAATACATGTAGTCTCACTCACAGTCACAGCAACACCCCACCCTTAAGTTCTTATTCCTTTCAATAATTTATTTTAGGGGTAGCAATTGCTAACTATTGCATTGCTGGCGTGCCACCTATGGTTTTAAATATGAGCATGAGAAATGCACAAAATCCATCACTACACAGGTCATAACCTGTGCCTACCAGTGGCGTATCCAAGGGGGAGGTAAAAGGGCTATTGCCCATTTCATTTGGAGGTTTGCCCATCGTAATTTTTGTGAGTAAGCTTTTGCTCATTGAAATTTTACTTTTTCAGAATTGTTTATTTGTTTTTTGAATTAAATAGTAATTATATTTTTTTCCCTATGAATCACATGCATTCTATGCTTCTTCTTTTCGAAAAGAATTAAGAAAAGAAGAAAAGAATCGTTCCTGGTATTTTAACTGTAAGTATGGATGAAAATGCGTTCGGTTTTATTGGTAAAATACTAAACAAGTAAAGGTAGAAAAGGATGGATCAAAGAGAAGAGAAACAAGAGCACAGAGCAGAGGAACACATCCAAGCGTGTGGGTATGGCCAGTCGACTTGATACTTCGAGATTTATTTGCTCATATGGCTTCTATCAGTTATTAGAAAAACGTGAATTTTTTTAACCAATTATAGTATCCAGATAATGCTAATGAGTGGTTATTGTTTGAGCTGCATATCGTAATAAGAAAGAAAATTATCGATTGTTTTTTATATCCAGTTTGTTAGAAGAACTCTGTATCAGATTTTTTTACAATTACATCGACTTCTATTAAAGTATTTCAAACAATATGAGGCATCAATAACAAAGTTTTATTATTATGTAGTTAATTTGCAACTATATCCAACGTAAAATGTTGTATGCTGATAAGTGAAATATTCAGCTAATTGTAAGTAGAAAAAATATAAGCGTCTTTGGAATTTTAACAAAGATGGTGAAAGCCATCAATAGCTTCTTTATAGGCAAGGTTCAAATAATAAAGAGTTGAAAATATAGAACATCTTACGTCGGGTATAGTTGCAAATAAACTACATAGTAATAAAATTTTGTTAGTAATACCTCATGTTGTTTGAAATACTTTAGTAGGAATCGATATACACCCTTGAACAAAAGTCTTCTCTCTCTGTGTTGTTATACTGCCATACTTTGGATGAAATTTGTTGCCAAGTAAAGATGTAACATGAGAATTTTATTGCAATATAGTGTACAGATCTTACTGCAATAAAACTCTCATGTTATATCTTTACTTGGCAATAAATTTCATCCAAAGTATGATAATATAACAACACAGAATGGGAAAGACTTTTGTCCGGAGGTGTATCATATGCCCATCAAGGGACCCATGGTCTCGATCCCGCTTGATAGAAGGGTGTGGGTGTGGGTGTGGGTGGGTGTGGGTGTTGGTGTGGGTGGGTGTGGGTGTTGGTGTGGGTGTGGGTGGGTGTGGGTGGGGTGTGGGTGTGTGGGTGTGGGTGTGGGTGTGGGTGGGTGTGGGTGTGGGTGTGGGTGTGTGGGTGTGCGTGTGCGTGTGCGTGTGGGCGTGGGTGTGGGTGTGGGTGTGATGGCTTCGGATGTAGGTGTGGCTTTGGATAAATTGCAGATTAAGACAAATGCCCGCCACCCATACTCCCTCACACCCACACCCACACCCACCCACACCCACACCCACACCCACACCC